CAGCTATGGTTTTTCTACTTTTAGGTTTTATTTACAGTTTTTGCTATAATTTTAGCTATATGATTCAATTATTTTTAGCTTTTAGTTGAAAATTTGCTATTTTTACTTTTTGCCATTGATTTCTTTTTGCTCTCAGCTTTGTTAAATTTGTATCTACAATTTTCCACATTTTAACGTTTAACGGCAGTTTTACTTAATTTTTGCTGTAACTATGATTCGCTAATTTTAGCAGTCAGTCAGCATTCACACTCAAACTTGTGTCTTCGTATTTTAAGAGATGATTGACATACAGTGTGTGTGCAAAGCAGCATTAAATAAAGAAAATGTAACAAAAGGGTAGACTAATAACAAATAAATTCAGAATAAAAGTGTGTGTTTTTCTAATTATAGTTTTCACAACATGTTCAGCTTGATTTCAGTAAACTTGTTTATTCATATATCCCCTTGATGATAAACTGTGCTGTCCTTAAGTATTAAAAGCTATAAAACATCAGCACATAAGCTGTTGATACAGACTCACAGCAAACAAACACAAATATTACCATTAACTCAACCTTTTACAGTAAAAATGTTAATCTGGTTTGTTCCCGCCTGCAAATGGCTACAGTACAGCCTGACATTAAACCTGAAACAAAACAGCTTAAATGTTCTTGCATTAARAAGATGATGCCCTCTGATAAAGTGTCATTTTTCTACAGCTCTTCTGTAGTTTTAGAGAAGGAATACAGTTTTCTGAAAAGAATATCATGAGATATGGACAAGAAACCTAAATACTGCACATATTAAAGAAGTATACAATTTTTGTTTCACTGACTAATAACATTTTGCTCCAAGTAAGAAAAAAGCAAATGAAGAAATGTATTATGAGAGAACAAGAGCATTGAAGCGAGGAACAGATGGTTACCTTCTTGTGATCGCAGCTGCTGACAGTTCACCTCCTCTGAAACTAACCCCTTATGAATATGTATGAACGAGCTGAATTTAGATGATTTTAAAAACTAATTATACYTGATCCAACAAGTTCATGTGAGCACATCCTAACTGGTCATGAGGCGTCGTAGTGAGAGCTCCATATTTTAGCAACCTCTCAAAAGCAAAGAGTACTGGATAAGAAAAGTCAGTAAAGTGATTTGYGGTGTGAAAATTCAGATTGCTCACAGGAAACAGAAGCAGGTTCATTACTAGAAGCACAGAAACACATTTTAAATTAATATTTTTGTCACATCATACAACACAAGTTGGCATGTTTGGTCATTAAGTCTTGTATGTTTTAGTAGGTGAATGATATAAAACAGATGGCAATTTTATTTTATTGCTGTTTACGTTATTTTTAGAGGAAAGTGCTTCATAAAATACAAAGTACTGAGTCAGTAATGTTTCATTTTTTTTATTATTAATGGTCTAACATCCCATTCATGTCCCCATGACCCAACAGTTGAAGCAGATGAACCAKCACATTATACATTTTCTATTGTCCATGAAAACCCCCAAGAAAACTAATTTGATCTGTTGGTGCTCAAAGCATGTGTTGGGGATGACTCTCAGCTACCACCACTCCCAGTTTTAATGTTTATCAAATCAAATAGCACAGTCAGCTATGACTCGCCTCACCTTTTCTTATAATTATGACTTTTTTTCTTTTTTTTTTTTTTGTGAATCCAGGTCATCAGGAAAACCCTTTATGTCAGGACAAAGATGTCATCACGCTGTACATTCACTTTTGTTTTATAATAATTAAAGAACTGTGTTTGAATTTCCAATTCAGTCAGTAAATAAGTGGTGGTGACATATACATGATTAGTGATGCTTTTGTAAATAATTTGTGTAGAATAAAATATAATAAACAACACAATTTGTTTCCTTGTCTATTGGACTTTATAAAACTTTTATAAGTAACTAATTTCAGATATTTATGACATTATCGGATGTGAAAAATGTGATTAGTTAAGTTTTCATTTGTTTCAAAATGTGATGCAAAAAGCTACATTTTATAAATGATGAGCCTGAAAGTGTTGTAGCAAATTTTTTTTATTTGATTTATGATTTTATTCCAGACATGTCAAACTCATTACATTTATTTACAGCAATAATGGTTAAAATTATTTTATAATCAGTTACAATAGTCACTTAAATTTAAATGTATCAATAAAAAAAGGATAATTCCAGAAACATTAATTATTAACTATGAGCCATTATGGGCAACATTAAGCCTTTATTTCCTCTCTGAACCAAAGCTGAAACGATAATCCAGTCCAGACGTCATCCCACATCGCAGCTATGAACGGTTCATTTCTGATCCCAGTTCATCCGCAGAAAGAGGCTCATACTCAACAAGGAACCCAGCAGATCTGGGCTGGTGGCATGTAAGGCAGGACAGGTTGTATTAAGTCAAGAGGCCTAATAGACAGGGATCGTAACTGAGCCTCAGCATGAACTTTAAACAGCCCTGCATCTTTCTTAGAGGAGGAGAAAAGAGAAGAAAAGTAAGTCTGTGTGTTTTGATGATTCGTGGTTTTAAATATATATATTTACTACATGTTTTGATCCTAACAGTTTTCTGAGCAGATTTTAGATTTTATGATTTATTTTCAGGTTCACCTGGAACATTTTCTGTAATTATGATGAGAGATTTTTGTTCTGCAGCGCTTAGGAAAGTTAAACTCTGCTGGTGTAGCTTTTCAATCATCCAGATTATGGTAATCCTAAATGCTTTATTAGAAAGCAACAAGACAAAAAGTATGTTTGCCTTAAATTCAAACCAATATAGAGTAGATTGAAAATTTATTTACAAGATACTGGCACAACAATAGCAACGCTATGAAGAAAATCAACTTTTTAGAAAAATGGCTTCTTTTATGAACTGGAATCAATTTTATTACATGAAATGCTTCATTAGTATGAACATGTCATTTAAAAACACCTAGATAAAATCAGCTCTGGTTTGTTTGGCAGGATTTACCAAACTGTGACAAACTGCATATCGAGCACTACTTATAAATGTATTGTTTTTGTTTTGCAGTCACGAGATCTCACCCATGACGAGATAGAAGGTACATTTCATGTTTCAGCTTTGTTGAGGTAAAACCAACACATGCAAAGTTTTACGATTTAGTTTACTTTCCTATGTATGATTCATAGAGTTAAAAGAAGCCTTTGTAGAGTTTGATAAAGACAAAGATGGCTTCATCACCTGTAAAGACTTGGGGAACCTGATGAGAACGATGGGCTACATGCCGACTGAAATGGAACTGATCCAACTGGGCCAAACCATCAACATGAACTGTGAGTTTTACCATCCAATATTTAAATAATCCAGAGTTTAACTGCATGTAAATCATCTTTAGGGTTTATAACATAAATTGTGCACATTTTGCCATTAAATAAAGCAATTATGATAATAATATTTGACAATAATTACATTGGTTTAGTGTATTTCTTTGTATTCTCCATACTCAGTCAAAAATAACATCAACACAGTTCATTCAGATAAATGATTAAAAAACAATAAATACAGATGTTTTCATGTTAAAATAAATATATGTTGCTGCTGCATTGTCTCCAGATAGTAACAAAGTACATTTACTTTATTGTTACATTTAACACATGAAAATGATACTTTTACTGCTTTACTTTAAAATATAACACTTTAGGAATTTAAATATGACCAGAACTCATGATGAAAGGAGTCAGAAGTACTTTTATTTTTACTTTTATTTCCCCAAATATCATGAGCAGTTTTATGACTTAAGTACTTTTCTGATCCGTGAAGTTATTTTTTTTTACCAAAGACATTTTCTGTTAAGCTATTTTTACTTTTACTTGCTTCTTACTTTCAAGTACTTTATATACTTCTGGTTGTCTCTTAGTGGGGGGACGGGTGGACTTTGAGGACTTTGTGGATTTAATGACTCCCAAACTTCTGGATGAAACAGCCGGGATGATCGGTTTGAAGGAACTAAAAGATGCTTTCAAAGAGGTGAGCTTAAAGGGATAGTCTGSTTATTTTTAATCAGTAGTTAGTGCTTTTTAAACTCCGTCCCCTTTTTTTCCCCCTATGTGCTCTGTGAGTGATGTCGCAGCTAACTATTGACAGAACATCAAATTGAAAATGACAAAAACGTTTTGTTGTTGTTTTTAAGCTGCTGTTTCCATCTCYTGTAGTTTGACATTGATGGTGACGGAGCCATCACGTCTGAGGAGTTGAGGTTCGCCATGATTAAGTTATTGGGCGAACACACCAGCAAAAGGGAAATAGATGAAGTGGTCCGAGAAGTTGACAACAACGGAGATGGAAAAGTTGACTTTGAAGGTGAGCTAAAACACAAAGACTCAGAGACTCAGGCTTACGTAACCTCCTGGTGTCACYGAGTCCGAGGATTGTTCTGTGAAATTACATCATTAATGGGGCTTAAGGAGGAAGTACAATGTAATATGTAGTTATGCAAAACATTGTAAGGGTTTTAGAGCAGAACGATAATGTAACTTTGAAGCCATAAATAACTTTATTAGCATTGTTTGGCTTTTTCTTCTTTAACAGACTGACAAGAAAACTTTTTTAATTTTATTTACATAAAACCTGTTAATTAGACAAAGCTTTATAAACCRTATTTTATTTCAAAATAAAATTCATTTAGTGTGTTTCACTTCACAAGCTTGTTTTCATTTTTTTCTTTAAAACCTTCTGATCAGAATGTTTCTTGATTGTCTTTGCAGAGTTTGTGAAAATGATGTCAAAGAATTAAAGACAACAGAATGAAGACAAGAGAAGCTTTGTTTTATATCAACCTCCTTGTAATTTTCTTTTTATATCAAAAAGCAACATCCTGTTTGGTGTGATTTTCAAAATCTTACAACTTAAGACACATTTGTTTGAAAAATACCGATAMAACCTTACATCAGGATTCTTAAACAACAAATGCCACTATCAGGATGCTTCTTTTTTATATATGTATTTATCAAATGCGGGGTTTTTTTTACCTTAAAATGTCCATAAGTGAATGAGCTAGTAAGCATGTTGTTAAATGTGTAAAATGAAAACATACTGTGTGCGATGTGTGCAGAAATAAAAAACAGCTTTTTTGGTCTAATATATCTAAACCTGTTGACAGAAGTCAAAAATACTCAATGTAAATATATAAAACTGTAGAGTGTTTCCTGAGGAAGTGAGTGTTCTGACCGCAGCCCAAGCTTTAAAAGCTAAAATAAACCAAATATAAAACATAATGATATTTAATGCACATGAATGAATGAGGGAAAACTAAGTTACATGTTGCAAACAGAACCCGTCTCATATGTATTAGTTCTTTTACATTGTTCACACATTAAAATATAATTTTTCCTCACTTAACAAAACTTTACAATAAAATGTATTTTCTGTGTTATTCAAAACACTTTATTTTCATATAAACATGTCTATATTTGTAAAGCCTGCCCCCACAGGTGTTATAAGGGTGCTTAAATTAAAAAGACAGACCCATCACTTCAGTAATATAACATCTGTGCAGGGATGGATTCAACACACAAAGAGGTTTCTCCTTTGTTGCCTTCATGTAATGTTGATGAAATCCAATGATGAGCTAGACAATAAGATTATGCCTAATTTCTATAGCATATTTAGCTTTTCAAAATTCTGAGATAAATGACTATTTTCAAATTACGACTCAGCWTCTTTATGGGGGTACTAATTTATTTTATTTAAAGTGATTGAAATGAGATCCAATTCATTTGTTGAACTCACAGTTGTAAAAAAAAAACGTTTGTATTTTTTCAGACTCCCAGAATGCTTTAATTTTATGTAATGAGAAATAAATACTTATATCAATCTGCAGCATTGATCTTGTTAAATGCTTGGTAAATATGTTTTGATATACCTTTTTTTTTCTTCACACCTCACTTCTCATAATGAAGGTAAAAGTGCTAAAAGTCTTTAAGGTTTAGCACATCAGAGGTTCATGGTGGAAAAAAAATGAATCAGATTATTTGAACAGTTATGTGTTTGACATGGAGAAAAATATCAGAGAATATGTTTACTAAAGAGCTTCACTGAAAGAAAGATTTGTCTCCATCTTAGCTCAACAGGTAAGATATGCAATTTAACGTTAAAACAGACTAAACTATTCCTTTATGCTGACATTTTCTCATTGATTGGAGYCAAAAGCAGCAGCTCTCCTCTGATGAGCTGTGGTTCATCACATGTTATGGATTGTGTTTGCATTGACGTGTAACTAGTTAATAAAAACTATTGATTAGCTGAGGTTGTTGATCAATGATCTCCTGAAAACAGCAGCTGATTCTGCCTCAGCTCTTTCCGCATGACTGCAGCCATGAGCTTCTGTGTTCCTTTACTGACACCTRGAGGGCAAAAGCTCATCAGACATTTGTGTTCTGTGCTGTCAGCCCCTCTGCAATGCTTCTGTCTCTCTGGGATTTTAAGGCTTCTTGTTGGTTTTTGTTTGTTTATGGCTGCTGTAGCTCTGTGGTCGATTTTGTAATCTTGAGGCTGCAGGTTTGAATCCAGGTTGCATCAGAAAAGGCATCCAGCAGAAAAACAWTTGCCAAATCTTGCATGYGAGTTCACTTGCTGTGGTGACCACTACATTTAGTCAGAGCACGAACAGTGTTTCCACTTTCATTTACTTAATCATAAAGACAAAATATCTTTTAAAAGATCATTTTTAATAATGTGGTTTTGTTTTTAGAATTTAATAGCAATTTACTAATCAAATCAAGCATGCATTTAGTGCTGTCCAAGTTTTTAATTTATTTTTAACAACTAAATTAAAATATTAATAAAGTTTGCACATTAAAACTATGAGTCCTGCGGCAGATGTTGCAGTTTTCCAGCATGTATTTTACTCTGAGAGATCTCAGTTTAAATGTGTCCAAGTTGTTTTATTTCAGAGTAACAAATGTCCATAGCTTTCCAGTTTGGATAAAAAAAAAATAGCAAAACCAGCATACAGAATTTATTTTTGATTTAAAAATGTTATGTGTTTATTTTAATGGCACAAAACTTCTTTTGAGCTCATGTCACTTGAAGTTAAATTCTAATTTTACAGTAACAATTCTGTGTAAAACGTTTACATATCATGATTCCAACTCTTTTGTTTTGTTATGTCCCTCGCAAGCATGAATTTGTTTCTCACAAAACAAGAACATGAATTAAAAGCTTAAAGTCGGCACGTTAATCCAGACTGAATAACCAGTGTCATGTCATCTTTAGGCAACAGATTGCCTGTGTAATAACGATTTTTGTTTTCCAACCACTTTGCTCATTTGCCATATTTTACTAATGCTGTTGCATAAGAATAAAGCAGCATGAAAGTTGCTTACACAGGAAACCTAACATGTGAGGATTTGAATAACAACATTTAAATGATAAGATCACATGCATGAATCCTAAATATTTTCAGGTGCAACTGGTTGCCTGCTCTAACACGTCTCTTCTCCTCAGTGTGGGAGAAGTAAACATTTTGCCTCTCATCAGATCACCTCTGATCACACTTTAAGATGAAATAAAATATCCATTGGCAAATCACACATCAGGAAACAACATATAAATGACCACATGTCAACCATCTCAGAAATAATCTGCCTCTCTGAGCTGGATTAGGTCCGATTCTGTAATCCTCGACGTGGGACCCTCAGAGGAACAGATGGCAGCTAAGACAAAAATCACCACACTAATTCTCATCTGTCTAGAAAAAAATATAGCCACAAAAAATGCTGAAGGAACACGCTGACTCAATTTTCAACATGATACCATAATTTAAAGAAAAACTCTGCTGAGGAAATTTAGGCAAATTACTGGAGTTTGCTCTTTAGAACTTTGTTAAAGAATAAATTAATGATAGACTGATTAATGTTGTTTTAATGAAATATAAAAATAAACAAATTTTCATTGTGCTTCCAGGAGTTTTCAGTTTGTCTGAAGTCATTACCTTATCAAAGTGCTGCATCTTGTTGGTATCAGAGTAAGCATGCAGCTCTTTGTGTGTGAGCGTGTGTCTGAAGGCTTATCTGACTCACATTCACACAGTGCTTTGTTGACTGAAATGAGACCTGTGATCCGGAGCAAGGACTCCTGGATTGTGGCTCCTAGTTGTAGCAGATCGCCCGCTGGCCGGGGTGGCTGCTGGGGCCTGGTGGGTAGTTGGCCGGGGGTGTGCACTTGGCTGTTGGCAGTGTGTGTGGGGGGTTGGGGGTGTGG